TACAGAGCATTCAGTGCCCTGGCCGGTTTGGCTCAGCGGTTAGAGCGTCAGCCTGCGGTCCAGAGACAGAGCATTCAGTCATTTAACCGGTATTCACTGAGCCCCTGCCCCGTGCTGGGCACTTGTTCCAGGCACTTGGCTTTCAGCACATGTGAAACAGACAAAGGTTCCTGGTTCATGGAGCTGAATTCCACTAGGGGAGACATGAGAAACAGGTAAAACAAATAAAATAGGAATACTATATCAGAAAGTGATCATCTAGTATCCCTGCTAACAAAATCTAACAGCAGTGTGGACTTGGGGAGGGAGAGGACTTGATCGAGGGGCATTTCAGGAGCCAACCCTTGAAGGTGTGGGGGAAGAATGTTCCAGGCGGAGGGAGCAGCAGTGAGCACAGGGGACACGGGAGAGTGGAAGGGGGAGTCGGGGTGGGCTCTCATGATCACCTTTAAAGGCCACACAGCAGGTAACCATGGGAGGATTTTATGCAGAAGAAGGACATGATCTGGTTATGTTTATTTCTTTAAATCTGAGCTTCTCTTATGGCAAAAGGAAAGTATGTAGTTTTTTTTTGTTTGTTTGTTTGTTTTTTATCCTCACCCAAGGACATTTTTCCATTTTTTGTTCATATAGAGCGGGAGGGAAAGAGAGGAAGAGAGAGAGAGAGAGAAACATTGATGTGAAGGGACACATCGAGTGGCTGCCACCCGCACGACCAACCAGGGCCGGGGACAAACTGCAACCGAGGTACATGCCCTTAGCGGGAACCGAACCCGGGTCTCTCTGTACCGCAGGCCGACGCTCCAACCTCTGAGCCAAACTGGCCAGGGCGGAAAGTATGTTCTTGTACCTGCTGCATGCAGCTTGTGGTCCAGGTGCCTGTCATCAGGGAGGTTGGGGTCCAGCTTGTGTTTGAGTCTCCATGACAGAGGTGTGGAGGGTGGACTGGGAGGAGGCTGAGATTAGAATGTTAGCAGAAGGTAAGGGGTCCTGCACTAGGACCAAGGGTCTGAACATGAGACTGTTGACGGGAGAAAACTGGCAGCATTTAGAGGTGCACCTTCAGTAGACTTACAGTTGTTGGGAGGCTTGTTAAGTGGGCATTAACTGCTAGTTAATCATCTCCTGTGTCTAGCTGGGATCATAACATGTTAAAAGGTCAACAGACATTCTCATTAGAAACAATGGAAAGAGCAGACTGAAACTAGAAATACCTTCTTAAGAACAGCAATATGATTAATGGTTCTATGTTTTAATGTTTACCAAATCGAGAACTATTGGGGTGGTTTGTTTTTTGTGTTTTCTTTGGTTATTAAAAAGCCACAATCATATTAAACTATCTTCTAGAAATAATTCATTTTTATTGGAAATGAATTGAATTCATATATTTCTCTATAATATATTGGAAAGTGTGTTATTTCAGATGGACATTCATTCATCCAATATTTAATGGGCTTACTTCCAGGCACTATAAAGTTCCCAAGGATACTTTCTTTCCTAAAGCAAAAACACTTCAATTTACTAGATTTTTTTTTTTTCACAATAGTGGGTTTCATTACTAGTATAAACTATGTGAACTGGTGGGTGAGAATGAAGGAGATATTTTTAAACCATAGTATTTCATTTAGAAACAGTTCTGTTGACATTAAAACCATCACCCAAAGGAATGAATACGGAAAAAATCCATTCCTAGGAATGTTTTTGAATTTTTTCTCTTCAACTGTGTTAATATCAGGAAGCTAAAACCACAGGCTACAGTGCTCCATGTCACGACAGAAACTTCTGGGTTGTAGACAGGATAGGTGCTGAACCTGTGTTCATTAGAGACGCCTTCACAAAGGATTTCTCCTAGTATTACAGTAGTTCAGAGACCAGTTCATGGATGATAGAAACTATTCCTTATAGGTATTGAATCTTTGAATGTAACAAAGTGTGTGTGTGTGTTTGTGTGTGTGTGTGTTTGTCTAACAAGAAAATTGTATTCTCATAATCTACATATAACCATGGAATCCATTCCATTAACCCCAAAGCATTCTCTTCATGAAATCTAGGTGTTACAAAAAATTTTGGTGTATATTATATAATAATAATTACAGATAAAACATCAATCTTAAAATTATTATCCAAGAATGAATGACAACCAGATAGAGATGTAAACTAATGAAAAATGAGGGCAGTAAACTAAGAAGTTTGGTGGATTATATCAACCTGATATGTTTAAATTGATGTAGAAGGAAAAATTAATGTGAATAATTCTAGGTATAGAAATGTCTCTAGCACTATCACATAAACTGTCTTAACAAATAACTAATGCCTGTTACCCCTTTAATGGCCAAGTAAGTAAATTTCAGCGGGAAACCTTTGAGTATGTTGAATATAAGTTATTGGGATGATTAAGGAATAACTGTACTATATTATTTTTTAAAGTACCATTCTCTGAAGACTCAATCCCTTCCTGCACACTTTGTATTTTCTTGCCATATTTCTGTGCCTTTGACAACTTCTAATTCCTTTTCCCTGAAACATGATCAATCTTAGCTTGGGCTGCTGTAACAAAATACCATAAACTGGATAGCTTATGAACAATAGAACTTTATTTTTCACAGCTGCAGAGGCCAAAAAATCCAAGATCACGGTTCCAGCCAATTTATGGTCTAGTGGAAACCCTCTTCCTGGTAGCAGATGGCTGTTTTGTTGATGTGTCTCACATGAAGGAAAAAGACCTACCTAACTCCCTGGCCTCTTACAGGGGCACTGATCCCATTCATGAGGGCTCCACTCTCACGATCTAATCACCCCCCGGAGCCTCTACCTCCTAATACCATCTCATGGAGTTTTAGGGTTTCAAGATGTGAATTTTGGAAGGACAGAAACATTCATTCCACAGCTCTGCCCCATCTTTGTCCCAGCCCAGCACATGTTTCCTCCAAAGAGACGAGTCTTGGTTGCTTCACCCAGATGTGGCCTCTCCTCAAGCACCAGCAGTCCTTTGTGTCGCTCATGACATTTACCTACACTCACCATCTTCTGTACGGTTGTCACTTGCCTATTAGCCTCACCCCATTATTAGATTGTGAACTAACTGGTCAGTCATTCATCTCGGAGCACCCAGCCCAGAATCTGGTCAAAATACTTCTTTTTATTATATAAATAATTTTACAGATGAATAAACTAAGGCCTAGGTTGGTCAAAAGTCAAGGGTTCTGACTTTCACTTGTCATATTTTGGAAGGAAAATTCTATTTTTATCCATGAAAACAAGATAAGAAACTACCATAAAACTAAGTAGTAATTTAGGTCTAAGTACTAAAAGAAGCTGATCTTTATTTCTAAAACTAAGGGAGCAACAGTGCTTATTTTCAAACTGATTAAACTAATATCCATGCAAATTTTCATTAGCATTTGCTTGGGGTTAGAAGAATGCAGTCATCCTATTTGATAAAAATAAAACAGTCTAAAATTTCTCAGTGATTTCTGAACTTCAACTCACAGATGAAATGAGGTATTGTGGTCTTAATACCTGAAAACAGTTCTTACATCAAAAGTGTTCAGCTCATTTATGCCAGTAAGACCGTGAACCTGTTCCGTTCAGAATCCTCCCGATTGCTCAGAACCTATTCCTGATTGATGGGCAGCCCCTCAGGACCAGTGAGTTAACTATTTCGAATTACCCCCGTTCCTTCTATCCACAATTCACTGGATATAATGTTCTGGTATGAATGAAAGAATGACATTTCATAGGAGAGAGAATTTACAGTAATATGAACTTTTTATGTAGAATGAGAAAAGATATTTTACAAAGAATACATTTCTAAGTAAACACCTAAATTCTATTAAGAGAACTCCTTGATGTTTCTATGTGGCAATAGGTGATACACATTCATTTCAATTTTTTTTAAACCTGGGACTAGTTTTTAAAAAACTCCAAAAATTGAGCTGTATAAAATGAAGATGACTTAATAAAATAGTTGTAGATTGATGGCAATAGTCATTTATTCTGAGTTGATAAATTGTGTGTTTTAATGTTATTAAAGTCCATAAAAATATGATTGTTTTTACAGGATACAAGTTCAGTACTAAAGGAGGAACAGGTTATTACAGTCTTTGAAGATGCAGGGTCATACATAATTCAAGAACAGCAGGATTCTCTTGTGTGTCAAGGAATTCTTGATTTAGAGGAAACTGACATGCCAGAGCCTCTAGCTCCTGGAAGCTACCCAGAATCAGTCTGTGAAGAAGACGTTACCTTAGCTTTGAAAGAACTAGATGAAAGATGTGAAGAAGAAGAAGCTGATTTTTCTGGACTGTCGAGGTGAGAATACAGCATCACTTTCATGAGATGACATTCTCTTTCTTACCCCCTCCCAAATATGACCCTCTGTCCAGTTTACTCACTTTCATTTTGTGTAGGTTTTAGTCTATAAACATACTGTGATGGGTTTATTTTCTGTTATTAACATTCACCTAGAGAAAAACATAGGCATTTCTCAAAGCATAGTGAGTGGCATTATGCATTTAGAAGCACAGGAAATACCTATTGGGGCAGAATACCTAATAGCCAGATGTTAAAAATCAGTACTAGGACACGGTCAGATCCAATGATCAAAATCATGGAACATGTTAAAATCAATATTGGGACACAGCCAGATCCAAGTATGAAACTCATGGAATGAAATTCTGTGATACCAGAATAAATCTGAAATATACCTAAAAGTTACTTTACAGTTTCATTATCAGTGGTCATATTTTTCCAGTTTGACATATGGGCAGAAGTGATTATTTTTTAGTACTGTCAGATGTTAGACTCTTCCTTTCAAATGTCTCTCTTTTCAACAATTTGGAGCTCCTTGACAATCATTCTTACACAAAAATATTTAGTAATCAAGTATGTTAGTTATACTCTTGCAATAAAAACTATTGTTATACGTCAAGTGATAATAGAGTTTTAACGTATACAACACATGAGGAAATTTTCACTCTTGGTGTGTCTAGAGTGCTTACCTGTGTATGGAAGCGCACGTTCAGACACTAACAGCACCTTGCCATCCTTTGATTTGTATGTGACAGTGGCCTTGCACGCACTCACCAGTCACACTCAAGTCCAGGGGTGCCAGAAACTGTGTGGAGGTAGATGTCCAGCTGTTCATCTTTCTAAAAGGCTGAAGCCAAATAGTTGACTTGGGTCAAGTACTGAAGCCGAAATGGAATAGAACACTCCTACTAATTATAGAGGTACATCTGCTCAAGCTTAAGGATACCTTTTGTTCAAATCAGTCAGCAGAGTGACATTTTAAAAATTAGCCTTTTTGAGGTATAATTTACCTGTTCACTTCAAACGTCTGCTTTGTTTTTATCTTTTCCCCCAACCTTCACTCAGATCCTTCTCTTCCATGTAAATCGCTCCATCGTTTCTGCCGAGTCTTAAGGAGCTGCCGTGTAATGTGAGATAGGCACGTTTGAGACCTGAGTAACACATTTCTTTGTGGAGTGTCTCACTCAAGCTCTTCGAGACTCAGAATTACACACGTGTGCTTGGACTGTGCAACCCAAATACATCTGTGTCTCGTTCCATTTTTGTTTGTATTATCTGACTTTTGGGGTTATAAATTCCTTAAAGAAAATGGCTAGGTCATATGTTTCTTTTGAGTAAAATCTGTCATTGCCACATTGTTAAGCGCATGGTATGTGCCCATGAAGTAGCTGCGCTAGGTACTGCATGTCAGGGCTTTTATTATCGGGTTTGGACCCCTAGTCCTGGGTGCAAAGGTTGCCAGTTTGATTCCCAGTCAGGGCACAGGCCTGGGTTGCGGGTTCAATCCCCGGTGGGGGTGCTGATCAATCACATCAATGTTTCTCTCTCCCTCCCCACCACACACACACACACACACACACACACACACACACACACACAATATCCTCAGGTGAGGATTAACAAAAAATAATAAATGAATGAATAGACATTTTTTTTCCTCATCAAGAAAATTGAGATAACAGTAGTACCCTTAGAGTTGCTATGAAGATTGAATGAAACAGTCCATATAAAGCACCTAACACAGCCCTTGACACAAAGTACATAGCCAAAACTTTTTTTTTCTTTTCTTTTTCTTTTCTTTTTTTAGAGGGAGAGGGAGAGATAGAAACATTGATGAGAAAGAGTATCGATTGGCTGCCTCCTGCATGCCCCCCACCGGGGACTCAGCCCACACCCTGGGCATGTGCCCTGACCAGGAACTGAACCAGTGACCTCCCAGTGCATGTGTGTGAAACCACTGAGCCACACCGGCTGGGCATGGCCAAAACTTTTAAAATATTATCATCATCAATTAGGGCCTCCAAAACTGATCTTTTAAAGGGATTTTTTTTTCATTTACTGAGGTAACTTTGGTTAATAATAATATACAAATTTCAGGTGTGCAGTATTATAATTTGACATCTGAACATCTTGCGTATTCACCACCAAAAGTCGTCTTTTTTTTCCCCTTTACTGTATATTTGACCCTTTTACCCAATTCATCTTCCTTCCCCACCCTTCCCCTCTGGGTACTACCATTCTATTGTCTGTGTCTGAGATTGTTTATTTAACATGAAAGCATTCTAATCTGAATTATTCATAGCCATTACTGAGAGTAGTCCATAGTGTTGGCATAGTATAGGACTTGGGTTGTTTTAAGGTAATCATGGAGAATTAGATTCCTAAATCCAAAGATGCGAAGTAGGAGTGCAGAAATCTTACTTGTATTTATCCGTGCTTTCTTAAAAAGTTTGGTTTGTTGTACATTCATAAAAATAATCTCTATTGGATGACTAAAACTATTTTAATTGAGTCTGCTCTTACGATTACTATGATATTTGCGTTAACAGTCAAGATGAGGAAGAACAAGACGGTTTCCCAGAAGTACAGACTTCCCCGCTGCCGTCACCATTTCTTTCTGCCATAATAGCCGCCTTCCAGCCAGTGGCCTGTGACGACGAAGAGGAGGCTTGGCGCTGCCACGTCAACCAGATGCTGTCCGACTCCGATGGCTCCTGTGCTGTGTTTACTTTTCATGTGTTTTCCAGGCTGTTTCAGGTCAGTGAGGCTCAGGGTTTCTGAATTCATATTATTGTTACCGGATAAGGTTAGGACTTCTGGTCTAAAATAGCCCACTGATTTTCTTAAAAAAATTTTTTTCCTTCGATAGTGATATTACTGAACTTACACTGTGACATACTACTGCTGGTACTTGATACAGTGCCTAATCCAGATAGCTCCCTGACCCCTTGCAGTGGTTCTCAACCTTCCGAATGCCGCAACCCTTTAATACAGCTCCTCATGTTGTGGTGACCCCCAACCATAAAATTATTTTTGTTGCTACTTCATAACTGTAATTTTGCTATTGTTACGTCTTAGACGACCCCTATGAAAGGGTCGTTCAACCCTCAAAGGGGTGGCGACCCACAGGTTGAGAACCTCTGTAAGGCAATTAGAATGAAATTTCAAAACAGCAACTGATAAATTTCTGTAGTATCCCAGGCACCATCAGGGATACCAAAGAAATATAAAGCATGGTCCCTGCCCTCAAGGAGCTTACAGTCAATATCCTAAAACAATTTAAATGCTTAATTAGTACTTTCACTACTGTATGGGGACCTTAAAAATTTTAACCAAAGTTGCTTCCAATCCTAAAAATCATAATAATGGGCTAACATTTATTGAGTACTCACTACATGCTAGGCATTATGCTAACTTCTTTACATTAAGTAATTTCAGTCTTACAACAGACCTGTGGAATGTAAATATATTTTCACCATCCCGTAGCTAGGGAAACTAAGGCACAGGAATGCCAACAATTAAGTCGTGAGCCTCAGAATTACCCACCACGTCCCCTCCCTCGCTAAGCAATTCTGCTCATCTTGGAAGAGCCCGCCAAACGTCTGTTCTCCCTGAAGCCTTCCCACCCGTTCCAGCCTCCCCTCTCCCTGGAGTCCTTCAGTGCTCATCAGTTAGAGCTTGTACTTAATTCTGTACTTTTGCACTGCTACTTGCTTTCTGTTTGTATTCTCTCCTTTCCTTTGATATTCTAAGTTTCTTGATGCCTGAGATTATTGTTTAGGCTTTTAAAGAAATTATTCATAATGACTCCTAACAGTGCTACACATATACATGTAGGTGCACATGAACTATCTGTATTGTTATTATAGTACTAATAATACAGTCTGATTCACTGAGTGCTCACTGTGGCTCAGATATTACCTGATTGTTTGAATGAATATTCTTGAGTTTTGAGAAAATATTACTTGTAATGCATTTTTAAGACTTTAATTATTAAAGTCAGATGGCAGTCCATAGCCAAGGACAGTAAATACCTACATTTACCAAAAATTCTTTTGAGGTAGAACTTAATTTTAGAAGAACTAATTCCTCAGACATTTCAGGACTTTATTTCCAAGGTTATGTAGAATGTACTCCTAATGTCTCACCTCATAAAAACAATCTCAGGAGGGGGCGGGATGGATGGCATGTATCATTAGTTTTCTTTTTTTCAGTAATACTATTTTGTAAATATTTGGTCATTTTTAGAAGTTAACGTTTTCTAAAGAAGTACCCCAAAACATGGATTTACAGATCTGTTATTAGAATTCTGTGTATTGCTACATTAATTATAAAAGAAAATATTGCCATTACTCTAATAATTATGCTTCTTTATTTAATGAAAAGAGGCCTTCTTAGGAGATGATAAACTTTTCTTGTATGCTTTTCTCCATAGACAATTCAAAGAAAGTTTGGAGACATAACTAATGAGGCAGTCAGCTTTCTTGGTGAGAGTCTGCAACGCATTGGCACCAAATTTAAAAGTTCGTTGGCAGTAATGATGATGTGTTCGGAATGCCCAACAGTCTTTGTGGATGCAGAAACAGTAAGTTTTTACATGAGGGCTTATTGAATCTGAATGACATCATTCAATAAATAGGCTATTTAAAAGGTAATTCAGAAATTTACAGTATAAAGATTCATATTTTCAACATGATTATAAATATCTAGCAAAGTACAATTCCAGTATGTTATATGCAGTGACTTGTGGCTATTTCTGATTCTGACCCCTCCTTGCCCTCACCCTCCACAGAGTCCTAGATGAGGAAGCTAACAAGTCATACTCTAGAGATGTTAACTTTTTCATGATTCCTGAATAAAAATGGGTAGGGGAGGGCTAGACCTCCCCCATTAAAAACCCAGAGCTCCTAGGTCTTCCCGCCTTGTTTCCAAGCACATTTGAACATTATGTATTAAGATATTTAAAGAAACTAAGATTTAAGAGGCTTCAAAGGTATTGTTTTCAAGGCATGTACAGTCTGACATGCCATTTCTTGCTGGAGCCAGTTTTTGAAAACATTCGAAGGCCTTGTAGTCCTTGTTGACACCCTGAAAATCCCGCTCCATTCTTCCTGTTTCGGTGAAAGGTCAGCCCTTAGTACGGGACAGAGTGCAGGAAGGGACCCTGGCCCCAAGCTGGGTCAAAACCCAGCTAACAGAAATTCCTTGACCCAGAAGTTGTTGGTCTTATGACTGGGACCAGAGGCGGTAACCTGGATTTCTGTGTTTATTTGACAGCTGATGTCATGTGATTTACTAGAAACACTCAAGTTCAGTGTTTTGGAGTTGCAGGAACACCTGGATACGTACAACGCCAAAAGAGAAGCAGCCGAGCAGGTCGGTCTCTTTTTACCCTGTGAAAAGAATAGCTTCCACCTCCCTAATTTCTTGTATTTATTTTTTTTTAATTAATTGTTTTGGGGTGATATTAAGATCATATATGTTTCAAGTGTACATTTTCATGGTACGTGATCTGTATGTTGCAGTGTGTGCCCACCACACAAAGTCGAGTCGTTTACGGTCACCATATATCTGGCCTCCTTTATTACCCCCAGTCCTTCCGTCTGGTAACTGCCACACTGTTTATCTGTGTCTGTGAGTTTCAGTTTTATGTCCCACATCTGAGTGAAGTCATACGGTTTAGTTTTTTCTGACAGATTTCGCCCAGCATAATATTCTCAAGGTCCATCTGTGTTGTCACAGGTGTCGGTTTTTCATCTTTTCTTACGGCTGAGTAGAATTCCATGTGTATTTGTACCACGTCTTCTTTATCCATTATCTATTGAAGGACACTGTTGTCTCCATGTC